CAAGTCTGCAGGAAAAGTGACTGATTTCGGTGGAATATCAATGGTTTTTGATGGCAGCAGTATTTACCAATTCATTAGAAAACGCCTAAACATCAGCACTGTCCAGTTACCTTATGAGTGGTTTGCAGGTTAAGGGCAAAAGGAGCGATGAATGCATTTCATGTGACATTTCATGTGACGTTTCATGTGACGTTTCTTGGAACTGGCTTTGTAGTGTAATAAAGTCAGGCTTTGACGAGTTGCAGGTGTGCCTGAAAATCTTTTGTAATTTGTGTTGTCTGTTGCAGCTTCCTTAAACAATGAGAAAAGTAAAGTTTATTCAATTTTCTCTACCATGGTGTAAAATACAAAATAAAATACATAAAGTGTCACCGTTTTGTGTATGTGGCCTTAGGGACATGTCTTGGTGCTCTTTTTCTCTTTTTTGTCTGGATGTCCTTTACTATTTTAGTTTCCTCATATGGGGCAAAAACTGGTACATTTCCAGTTTCTGTTTTTACGTATTTCTGTTTGAAAATTTCTTTCTGAAGTTTCAGTGTGTAGTATGTTAAGCATATTTCAGTTAAAGTTATTTTGTATCTCAAATGGTGATTTATTTTGGAGATTATTTAGGTGTGTGTTTCATAAATACCAAACAACAGAACTTTTTAGCCACCCACTTTCAGTGATTTCTAGCTTAAATGATATGAAAGCAAGAAATTCACTGTATATGATTTCAAAGCTGCGATGCTGGTTGAAGCCTGCTTTATACTGGGTTGGCCAAACACTCAGTTCAGTCCCTCACCAACCTGCCTTCACTCTGCCATCATGTGACTCTGGTTCACGCACTAGTCTTTAACTTTATTTGAAACCCTTTGGTTAAACTGTATCATGACAGATGTCCTATCAGCATGTGTTTAAGAAAAACTCAGAACTAATGAGTGTGTGGTCATTTTCATATTGGAGATGGATGAATAGAAGTAATATTTTTAGTACATTACACTGTGGCACATCAAGAGGGTTAAAAGGCCAGTTAAATGGAATACAAGATTTGTGGCTTGTGGAAGAAGGTGGTGTGATGGGTTGAACATGTCAGAAGTGGTTTGTGAAGTTTCTCATTGGAGATTTGTGTGGGGGCTCCCCACGTGTTGGATGGACAAGTCACAGTCAATAGCCATCCAGTCCAGACTTTCATCAAGGACAGAACCCAGTATGCCATGTGGGAGACAGGCGATGTACTCAAAAAACCCAAATGAAGCGTCGAAAATCATTTCCACCAGTACAGTTACATTAATCACTTTGATGTTTGGGTTCACAGAAGGGGGGAGGAGGAGGGATCCCTGCCTGACCACATTTCCACATCAGATTGTCTGCTGATACACAAGGAATATGTTGTATTACGAAGACAAATTGTGGACAGGGGGATGAATCATTGATATTTGACACTAATGGGGACTGGGCGAGATCGTGGGCACATGAAGGGAACCACCAGCAGCCACTCCAAAGTGTGGTCTGCACCCAAAGGAGGACATGGACATGGTGGGATCACTGGGGAGTAGTGTACTAGGAGGTCCTCACCAGAAACCAGGCAGTTAATTCCACGGTACTACTCCCCATTGGACCAACGGAACTCACTGCCCCAGGGAAAGAGTCCTGAATTTGTCAGAAGACGCGTAACTGTCCATCAGGAAAAGGTGAGAGAGCACGTTTCTCTTTCTCTTCCAGGGAGCAGATGAGAAGCCCTTGAGGCACCCACCTAGAACAATCCTCTCTATTAAACAACCATCTTCTGGGCAAGGGCAAGAGGCTTGGAATCCATCCGACATCAGGCTGCAGTCACTTCTTGGAGCCTCTACTTCAAAACAAGGATGGTGGCTTACAGCCACTGCCAGGTGGGCAAGGGGTGTGTGTGTGTGTGTGTAAACACCCAGCTCCCTGCACAAGGTGGTCTGAGATTGTGTGAACTATACAAGCAAGGCTGAAACAAAAGTCTCTCTTTCTGACTTAGCTTTGAGAGCCACACACCATTTTCACAACACAGATCAGCTCGGTTGTGTGAAGGAAGGAGTGTACAAGGGCATGTGCATTTGGGGGGTACCTTGGAGGCTTGCAGCTATACTAGGAATGTGCTTTGCTGCTGAAGGGGAGGGAGAGGGAACAGACCTGTCTACTCATCTTGAATCACTAAGCCTTCTGGGAAAACTCCAGGGTCTGTCCTGGTGGGGTGTCATGATGAGCATCACGTGGCAGTCTGTGGGTTCCCCTTCCCACTGAATTCAATGTCAGCCTCTCTGCCAGCATTACACCAGGACTCTGCCCCTCTCCCATGGCCCATGCTGAAAGCTACAGAATATTGAGTTTATGGTACTCTTTCTGGGCTGTCTTGGTCTGGGGAGAAACAGGGAAGGGAAATAAAACCCAAGAAATACACCTTCCTTTAAAAAAGTATAAAAGGAAATAATAGTGGGTATTTATTATTGAAATCCACAGTTTATGTAGACACTCTTCTTCACAAGCCTGGCATTGGGAGGACAGAAAGGTCATTGTTCCTGGTCATGGTGGTGGGTGTCCCCCTTTGGGGATCCCACCCCAGCAGGAACAGAGTGGGTTATGCTTAGGTCTCCCTCATGCAGGAGAGGGTATGATGGGATCCTTGCTAATTGCCATTTCTCTGTATTGAACTTGGCTGTGATTCTAAGAAAAGTGTGACCTCTGGGAGCTGTTAGCATCCTTCCTTTTGCTTATGCAGATACAGATGTTTACCCCATTCTCATCTTGAGTCTCGCTGGACTCCCACTATTGGGCCCACTGGAATTTTGTCCTCCTGGACCATTGTGGACAATATCTGGGAAGGGGTGGCCAGGAATGAACAACATTGTGCATGTCCATTATCCCATCTGGCTTGACCTCACAGAAGTTTAAAGACACAGTAAGTACTAATTTCAAGATGGTGTCAGTGGTGTATTAAACCCTGTGGGACCCAGGTACAAAGAGAGTGCATTACAGAAGCTCCTGTGTTGCAGGCTTCATGAATGCCATTTGCAGACTGGGTGCACCCGTCACAGGAGAAACTTGGTTCTTCTTGCCAATGCAGTAAAGCATTGTAGATCAGCCAGTGTATTAGTGTGCAAGCAGGGTTTGTTAGTGATACGTTCTCATGGAAGAGGACAGGTCTTGCTGAGATGGGAGTGAAAGGGAAGAGCTTGGGTGGCAAGAGCACCAGGTCCTTTGTCCTGAGGGCTTATATAGTTCATGGGATGGGGGCAAAGAACTTACATATTGATTGACATGTAAAAGTGGTGTCAGCTTCCACAGGGGATGAGAATACTCAAACGTAGGTATGTGTGGGGGTCGGTAGCCCAAATCCTTATCTGGCTTCAGACCCCATTTGGTCATCTTGTAAAATAGATATGAGATAGGAGACAGTGAAAGTTAAAGAAGTCACCCAAAGTTATCTATGGGCTCTTTCTGTAAACATTAGGGACCCTTCATAAAACAGATAGTGGACAGGGGCAGTTAGCCAATTTTGTTTTATGGGTCCTTTCCTTGAGTGCTGTGGACCCCCTCCCATCTTCTAGGCCTTGAGATGAATAGTTTCAATGCCTTTCTTTCCCAGATAGTGGAAATGATACCTAGAATTTCAACGTGTTAGCATGGTGTTTCTGGTGATGCTGGACCATCTGGCAATAGAATTGGACCAGGCTCAGGACTGCTGAGTTAGTGGGTGACACGTCTTCCTCATCCTCCCTGCCTTGGCTTACCATCTATCCTACCTAACAGTGTGGGCAGATGTTGCTCCCAGTGTCAGTTCTCAGCAAGGGGTGGGTGAGGGTCTTGTTTCACAGGGTATTTTCAGTACCACCTGCCTGTGTTGAGACTCAGAGGGTGCACAAGCTCAGTGAGAGGGTGGTAATCTGGAGGAAGGCACATCCCCCACCTCATGCCTCCTTCTCAGGGCAGTTGAGTCTATGTGGGGAAAGCAGTGGGCTCTGCTCAAAATCTGAGTTTGGTGACAGACCCCTACCCTGTCCTTATCTTCCTTTGTCCAGTGCTAAAGACCCAGAAGACAAGGGCACTGATGGCTGTTCAGCAGGACTTGTGATCTCAGCGATTCACTCACCAGATTCTGTCTGTGCTCACTCAACTTTGAATGTCAAACTGAAAGGCTGGAGTTCCCATTTCCAGTGTACAGACTAGGAATCGAGCAGAGAGACGAGAAACTTGCCTTAGGTCACACAGCTGGAGAAGACAGAGCTGAGACTCACACCCACTATGGACAGATGTGGGATCTATATGCTGTGCACCAGGAAATGCTGACGCTGAAGGGGCAGGAAGGAGGAAGACCAGGTGCCCAGACCAAGCCAGGCTCACGTCTGTGCACAAGCATACATCCCTCCCTGCTGTTCACCTCTGAGGCTCCGGAGGTTGTAGGAAACTAGAAGAGCCAAGAGAAGTGAAGGGAGGAGGGCAGGGAGCCCATCAGGAGAAAAAGGCCCCCTTCCCAGGAGTCTGGGGAATTCCCTTCCCTGGTGAGTCTGTCTCAAATTCCTCTCTCTGGGCAGTAACCCAAGTAGACTGTCTCAAGACTTCTCCATTTGTAGGGGTTGAATTTCTGTGGCTGAGAGTATGAGTTCTTTGTGGCTCTTAAGGAACCCTCTGCTTTCAGTGATGGGGGAATGAGGGATGTGGGTTTCATGTTTGTATGGAGACAAAACTCTTTAGAAAAGCACATCAAAAAACCACGAAAGAGATTGGTGCTGATATCCCCATATTACTCATGGAACTGTTTGTTCATCTCATCTCTTGTCATGAAACTGCAGGGTTTGTTTAACCAGTTACTTCTGTACTAATTACAATCTTGGGGAGAGTAAGGTTCCATAGACTTCTTAGGGCTACTGACATGTAATTTAATGGTAATGATTCATTCACTTCACCTGCAAATATAGGGATTCTCCCCAGTGTGTCCTCTGGTGTGTGATGAGATGTGACTTCTGTGTAAAGCCTCGCCCACACTCCCTGCAAACATAGGGCTTCTCCCCAGAGTGTGTCCTCTGGTGTCTGATGAGACCTGACTTCTGTGTAAAGCCTCGCCCACACTCCCTGCAAACATAGGGCTTCTCCCCTGTGTGTGTCTTCTGGTGTGTGATGAGAACCGACTTTTGTGTAAAGCCTCGCCTGCACTCACTGCAAACATAGGGCTTCTCCCCAGAGTGTATCCTCTCGTGTGTGATGAGACCTGACTTGTCTGTAAAGCCTCGCCCACAGTCCCTGCAAACATAGGGCTTCTCCCCAGAGTGTGTCCTCTGGTGTCTGATGAGATGTGACTTCCGTGTAAAGCCTCGCCCACACTCCCTGCAAACATAGGGCTTCTCCCCAAAGTGTGTCCTCTGGTGTCTGATGAGATATGACTTTTGTGTAAAGCCTCGCCCACACTCCCTACAAACATAGGGCTTCTCCCCTGAGTGTGTCCTCTGGTGTGTGATGAGATATGACTTTTGTGTAAAGCCTTGTCCGCACTCCCTGCAAACATAGGGCTTCTCCCTAGAGTGTGTCCTCTGGTGTGTGATGAGATATGACTTTTGTGTAAAGCCTTGTCCGCACTCCCTACAAACATAGGGCTTCTCCCTAGAGTGTGTCCTCTGGTGTGTGATGAGATGTGACTTCTGTGTAAAGTCTTGCCTGCACTCACTGCAAACATAGGGCTTCTCCCCAGAGTGTGTTCTCTGGTGTCTGATGAGATGTGACTTCTGTGTAAAGCCTCGCCCACACTCCCTGCAAACATAGGGCTTCTCCCCAGAGTGTATCCTCTCGTGTGTGATGAGAACTGACTTCCGTGTAAAGCCTCGCCCACACTCCCTACAAACATAGGGCTTCTCCCCAGAGTGTGTCCTCTGGTGTGTGATGAGAACTGACTTCCAGGTAAAGCCTCGCCCACACTCCCTGCAAACATAGGGCTTCTCCCCAGAGTGTGTCCTCTGGTGTCTAAGGAGATTTGACTTCCGTGTAAAGCCTCGCCCGCACTCCCTGCAAACATAGGGCTTCTCCCCAGAGTGTGTCCTCTGGTGTGTGATGAGATGTGACCCATCACTGAAGCCTTGCCAACACCTTCTGTGCTCGATTATTACAATTTTTGACATTCCTACTTTCACAAATAACTTGCCTGTGCCCTCTGGACTCTGTTCCTGGCCTCTGCAGGGCTCTTCCTCCATCATTCTCTGATGCTCACTGGAGTTCTTCATTTGTTCTTTGGAAGGGTGGAAAAAGGGTCTTAAGATTCTCCTCTGACTGATTCTTTTAAGCAAAGGTTTGGACCTTTCTTTGACCTCTTGACTTTCAGCTTTATCATTCCAGCTGTGTGTACTAGTATGTTGCTGCTGCTGATTCTGATCCTTTGGAAAGGGTTCCTCTGCTTGGAGGTGTTTTCTTGCAGATGTTTCTGGGAGAATCTGAGAGGGATGATTGAGTTTCACATGTTGGCTGAGGAATTTCTGACTGGAGAAGGCCAGAGAGCAGGTGGGAGATGGATGCACCTCTGACTTTGGTTCCGCTGAAAGAGAAAGGTTTGGTCAGGGCAGATGTTGACAAGAATGCCTGGGCCCCATGATTCACACTGTGGTGACAACGCAACCTCTGTCTCCCACTGTGTGTCCACTTGCAGTCTATTTTCCTTTTTATGCAGTGCATCTTCTTCAGAAATGCAGAAAGCCCACATCAAGTGTCTTTTCTAATATTGCCCGGACAAGGGATTTTCGAGGAGCATCAGAGGCCATTTTACTCCCTGTGTGGATGGAACTGCATTGACCTTTCCCTTTCATAGGTATTTTCTAAGTCATGTGAAAGAGGAAAACCACAGGCCCCAACTAGGAACTGCTTCTCTGTTTTCCAAAACAGTAAAATAAAATGTCCTTTCTGCCCTTGCTTGTGTGGCTCAGTGGATTGAGTGCCAGCCTGCTAAGCAAGGAGTCGCAGGTTCAATTCCTAGTCAGGGCACATGCCTGGGTTGTGGACCAGGTCCCCAGTAGGAGGCGTATGAGGGGCAACCACACATGGATGTTTCCCTCTCTTTCTCCCTCTTCCCCTCTAAAAATAAATAAATATATATTTTTAAATGTCCTTCCTCAAGCCTCATACCAAATATTTATGCTTCATTTCATTCAGTGTTAGCCCATTTCAAATACACTGAGAAATCCTGTTTGAAAATATTTCTCCAACCACACTTCTTATACACCTGACTCCTGTTCCTCTCTGGCCAATCCACCATGCTCTCTCATTTGCAGATGAAGTAATTTCTGAGGGGATTCCCCACTGGAGTTTATTTTCTTAAAATTAACAAAGCATAATCAGAACAGAGAACACACTTTCACTCATGAAAGTCCCCAGTGTCTCAACTCGGGTCATCGGCACTGTATTTCCAGGCTGCTGAGCATCTATCTGATCTCCATTCTTATGCTCAATGCTGAGACGAGACCTGAGTGACCCTCAGCCAGTTCAATGCCTCACCTCTTCTCTTCCCTGCACTAGCTGCTCCCTCTGCCTGGGATCCTCTGCCTGCAGGTATTTTTGTAAATGTTATCTCCTGAGGCGCCCTTTCCGGACCACCTGCCACACTGCACCTCCCCTCACACTGATCCCTGGGCCTGGGTTTCCCTCCTTCACCCATCAGTTCAATAGCAGTGATTCTGATCCTCATGTTAATCTGTGTTTCCAGGTCCCAGGACCCTGTGGCACAGAGTGGGGTCTCACATGACAATTCACTGAAGTGACAAATGAATGTGCCCTGCCTGAATGGTGCGGCTCGGCAGGTTGGGTATTGTCTGAAAACTGAAAGGTTACAAGTTCGATTCCCAGTCAGGGAACGTGCCAGGGTTGTGGGCCAGTTGGGGGTGTGCCAGAGACAAATGATTAATGTTTCCCTTGTACACGGATTTTTTTCTCCCTCCTTTCTACTCACTGTAAAAATAAATCAAATCTTTTTAAAAAAAGATTTTTTTATTTAAAAAAATCTTTTTTTTTTTAAAAAAAGATTTCATTTATTTTCAGAAAAGGGGGAAGGGGAGGAGGGTGAGGGAGAGAAACATTAATGTGTGGTTGCCTGTCACCTGTCCCCTACTGGGGACCTGGTGTGAAACCTAGGCATGTGCTGCAACTGGGAATCAAACTGGTGACCCTTTGGCTCACAGCCCGGCATTCAATCCACTGAGCCACACCAGCAAGGGCAAAATCTTTAAAAAATAATCAATGCCTATAAGAAATGTTTTATCTAGAAGTACAGAGGAAAGTTAAGAAACAGCTATTAAAGTGTAAGAAAAAATGCCTTTGTGAGAGAGCTGGTTAGTGCTTGAAAACTTTTCTTTTTTGCCTCTTAGCCCTTCAACACTATATGTGATTCTATATTTTTTGTATGATATATTTTTAGAATAAAAAAGTATAAAAATTTTGCCTAAGAGCCAAAGGCATATGAATGAATTTTGTATTTCTGAAGTATCTGATTCGAAACTTTACTGATTTTACTCTACTAAAGAGTTGGATCATGAACATTTCTATGGAGATTTATCTCTTTTCTTGCTGTTTTGAAGAACATTGGTGCCCACCTCTCCCGGACGTGAGCTCTCTCTTCCACTTGCTGCCCCACTTGCTGCCCAGCTCCTGGCCATACTCGTCCCCACACCAGACCAGCAGCTCACAGCCCGGCCTGATGACGCGGCAGGTTCGGTAGAAAATCTGCCCGTGGTATTGAAAGGCCACCAGGTTCTGCTCTTCATCATCCCGGGCACAGTTCACATACCTGGGATTGAAGCAGAGGAAGGGAAAGAAAACCTCAGTGATGCGTTCCCACTACCTGTTACATCCATGTCCAGCTCCTCACTGATTCTTAAGGCCCTCAGGCTCTGGTGTTACCCACTGCCCGTAATGCTCTCGGGGAACCGTCTGTTCAGTGTCTGAGCATCTGTCAGCATGTCATGTGAGTTCCTATCTCCAAGTTCTACTTGCAGTGCAAATGCTGCCTAATACCACTTTCTAAAACCGAGTTGTAGATTTAACCTCCACCCTGACTGGCCATAACATCCAGTGATCACTGGCTTCTCCAAACTCTAAATCCAGTTGTCTCATACCACAGAACCTGGTGCTTGATCTAGGGCTCTGCTTCTAAATTGGTTCACTAATTATTCAGTACTCAGCCCACATCTATTTTCTCTTGATAGGCCTTTCTCCAAACCCCCTACACTTTATTTAGGGTACCATTCACTTGCCTGCCCAAGGTTACCATAGAAAATTGGAGGTCTTTTGGTCCTAGTTAAAATAAAACAGAACAATAGTAGTTGATTCACATTCTGTTATCCCTGATGAAAGAGAGCCCCTCTCAGGAAAGGAGCCATGACCATTCTTCTGCAGGCCTCAGAGCCCAGCTCTAGTTAGAAGTGAGGCCGGGATCGTTTGCTGCCCTCACAGGTTCAGACCACCGTTGGTTTGTGCTATCTTGACATGGTGCACTTCTTGGAAATGATAGGTAAATGCTTCTAAAAGCAATTGTTTTATGTCTGTCTGTGAGAAGTCCTTCATAAGGACATGGGTTGTGTGATCTGTTTAAGTAATGTATTCCTTCACCTAAACTGGAATATAATAAGTGCTTAATGTTCATTTGATAAATTAAATTGTAATCCAGTGTCCCTGGTGTATCTAGGCTCTTCAAGTCCTTTCCAGTGCCCATATTGTGTCTAGCAGAGAGGTTTATATTTTGAGGACATATGCCATATTTTGTTCTTAAATGTCCCCTGAAATGAAAGAACACTGTATGGAGAAAAAGAGGAAAAAAGGATTAAGGAAGACCACTGAAGGAGGCATGATGAGAGGAAAAGATATATGGGCTTGTGGGGGATGAGAGTCCCCTCTGGCACCCAGAGACCTGTTGACCTCACCTCATCCAGTTGGCCCAGGATCTGTCCTTTCCATCCACATATTCATAGTAGTTTCTCCCTTTGGCGATCTGTGTTTCAGAAAAGAAGTTAAAGACCTTTTATTGTTTTCATGGGGAGGTAATAGTCAGAAGAATTATTTTTCCCTACTGTCATCAAAGCTCTTCCATCCTACATGGGGATTCAACTGCCAGTTGTGACCACATGATATTTTTCTTACTCATCATCTACACATCTGAGTCTACCTGTCCAGTCAGAGCAGGAGCCCTACAAGGGAGGAGCCAGTCCTTTGTGTCTGCACCACTTTGCTCCTGCTTACTGTCTGATTCTTAAACAGGAGCTCTGTGTTCATATAAAGTCCAGTCAGTATACAGAGCTAACCACATTGTCCCCTCCATGTCTAGCATGTAAGAGGAGAGGTCCCTCCAAGCCTCAGAAGGAGTGTGGGAAGGCAGAGGGCAGTGGAAGAGGTAAAGACTTCTCACCAGCCAGGAGTATCTGCTCTTGGCTGCCTCTTCATCTTCTGTGATGTGTCCTGCATAGGGGCCAAAGTGAAGACCCACTGGCAAATCAGCTGCCTCATTCCACACTCCAAGCCCAACCTCAGGGATGCTGGATGGCCCGATTCTCAACCCAGGGGGCAGGGTGAGGGCTGAGCGGTGGGGATGCCCCTTGTCCACTGCACTGTCCTTTACAAATGTAGGGGGCCCATGTACAGCACAGCTGTTGATGAAGAAGTTCTGACACTTGTCACAATCTGGAGGCGAGAGCAACAGGGGTTAGAGAAGGTATAGTGCATGTTCCTGGATGCAGAGAGCTTCAGAGGGAGTCCAGCACTGACATCATTGAGACTCATTCCTGTATTCCAGGTTGCTAGAGGAAGGGAATGATTTGGGGACCAAAGGACTAGATGAAATTATTGTATCATAACATGCTTCTTAGTGAGGGTCACTTACAAAGGTAGTCATCATCCTGGGGCTCGTTGACCTCTTGGTACACACGGCCCTTTCTTTCTAGTAGGCTGTACCTCTTCATGTCAATCTCCTTTCTCCTGAGTTCTAAGTTGGAGAAGGACAGGTGAGCAAGGTTGGTGGGGTCTGGAGTGTTAGTTCCCAGTTTGTCAGATAACATGCAATCTCCTCCCATAAAATTATTACCCATCCTTTTGCATACTCTGGTATTTTACTCCATTCACTATTGGTTCAGAAGAGTAAGATTCCACACTAAGTACAGATAACTGATTGAATTTTAGTTTCTAGATCTTCCTATTACCAGGTGTAATTGCCAACCTTTAATCATTCATATTTATTGAGTGCACTGTGCATGTTAGGCATTGAGGAAAGGCCTGGGCACACAACACCACTAAAGTGTGGTTGCTGTATCACAGATGGATTTATTGGACAACTTACATGTGTCAATTGTTTTAAATTTAATTTAATGTTTTCAAACAATGTATGAGTGATGTTTCCTTATCTTCACTTTACACATTAGCATTCAGGAGCTCAGAGAATTTACAGGATTTGCCCAAAGCTCCAGTGCTAACTTCAGTCTCAGTTTAGCCCAGCTTAAATCCACACCCATCCAAACTCTACCCCACATCCCTAGGGGCAGAGTCATACTTATCAGCCCTTCTATAGGACTTAGAGGAACTAAAGTTTCCAAATTATTTTCTCTTACCCGATATTTGTCTAGTGTGCTTTTCAGAGGCACATGCTTCTTCATGAGAGGACATTGATTTCTGGGCATGTTCTGAGTCACTTGCAGTCATCAAATTTGCTATTCCTGAACATTCCTTCAAATTATATTCATTGCTTAATGGCACTCTGGATGTTGCCTTCAATGTAAGAGTCACATATTAAAAGATAACATTTAATTTTTCAAGGCTTAGGATACATTTTACATGCATGTCTTTAATAGTTTGATCCTTGGAAATACCTAGGGAGTATGAATATCAGAGGGGATAGGGCCAATGTGGGTAATGAATCCAAGATTAGAACTCATGCCTAATGGCTTTTTTCTTTCAACTGTCTCTATAATATTGAGAGTGAAGGATGTTGGGAAGAGAACAAAGAAATAGTTGGCAGAAACATCTAGACAATAAATAAAATGGTGATAAAATCTGCAGTATTTCTTAGAAAAAATATTTGTACTTAGATTAGCCAGTTCCCACCAATTGTTTGAATAAGGCTGTATCAGTAGCCTGTTGTCTTCAGTTTCATGATCTATAACATGCTAATTTTCAATGTTACAGTGAATGTGCAATTAAATAATGCTCACCAAAGTATTCTGTGAATTGTGTAATACAGTATGAATGTGAGATTACAGTCCTGCTATCAATTTACCCCTCAGCTCTCTCCATATTTCAGTCTCATAGAAATTACCTTCAACACTCATTGATCATCTTCTAGTTTAATTTGTAATTGTGAAATCATTCATTCAGCAAACATTCGGGGGCCCTCTCAGGAGCCCTGATGTGGGCCTGTGACCTCTGAGAAGACTCAGGTATGGTCCAGCCCCTCAAAGAGCTCACAACGCAGAGTTAGGCAGGCTGAACAAATGCTTCTAAACAGGATGAGAGTGGCCTCATTGAAACTGAAAGAAGCTGTTACTTCACCTTACAAGCAATGGCATTTGAAATCAGTTCCAGACAGATGAGTTTCTGTTGAAGAGTGTGTAACCTATATGAAGTGCTTAAGTCATCTTATTATTTGTTGTTTCTCAATCAGCAAACCTGAAGCTCCTCAGGGCTGAGAGATGCTTTCTTTGATTAGAGTGGAAGGCTCTGATCCTGGACATTTTACATTCTTCTTCACCTGGGACAATCCACCGTACAAACTGCCTACACAGTGTACACTGTCCTTAGTCAGAGGGTCTTCGTGCATCTTTCACTTCAGCACAGCAGAGAAGAACTTTGGTTGAAACCGTCAATCAGATGAATGATGTAATGACATATGGATAAGACAATGTAAACTTTAGAAAACTATGAAAGTTTATTTTTCTAATTTTTAAAAAAGATTTTGTTTATTTTCTTGAGAGAGAGGAAGGGAGGAAGAGAGGGAGAGAAACATTGGGTGAGAGAGAAACATTGATCACTCGCCTCTCATGCACATGGCAATTGGAAACCTGGCCCACAACCCAGGCATGTGCCCTGATCAGGAATCAAACTGGCAATCTTTCCCTGCACAGGATGACACCCAACTGAGTCACAGTGGCCAGGGTGAAACCATGAAAGTTGTAATGAGTTTGTAAGTGGTTTAGAGAAGCAACTATGGGTTGGATTGCACTACCACTGATACTGAGATCTTAGACATATAGTCAAACATTTCTATATCTCTGAAAGCTCACTTCCCTCATTATAAATGATGACAATTATAGTACGTACCTCATCAGATTGTTGTAATGTTTGAGTTTATTCACATAGAATTGTTAGAGTCTGAAACACTGTGAGAATGAAACAACTGGTAGTTACTATTGCTGCTGTAGTTGTTCACCATTAAGATGATGATGAGTCCTGGCTGATGTGGCTCAGTGGACTGAGCATTGGCCTGTAGACTGAAAGGTCACCAGTTCCATTCCCGGTCAGGGCACATGCCTGGGGTGTGGACCAGCTCCCCCACTTGGGGGCATGTAAGAGGCAACCTATTCATGTTTCTCTCCCTCTCTCCCTCCATCCCCCTCTCTAAAAATAGATAAATAAAATCTTAAAAAAAGGATGATAACGTCGGACAGTATGTTAAAAAGACTAGGAAAGGAAGACAGCCGTTCCTAGGATACTTTCTGCATTTTCCTACTCTTACATGCATTTCTATCCCTGAGGAAAATTTTCTTGTCAACAGGATTTGGAAATACTCACCTTCTGGTGTTTACTGTGTTCCCTTCTGAAGGCCACCCAGGGTTTCACTGAAAGATGATGAGAAATCAGTGTTTGGGTGGGTAAATGTTTCCAAAATCTGGAGATTCTTATTAGGGACACAGAAGTCTGAATGAGAGTAGTTCAAGAACAATCCCAGGATGACTGGAAAATGTTTTCTGATGTTCATTAAGGCCTATGGTTCCATTGGGGACCATGTACTAATTGCATTAGAATGAGAAAAAAAATAGACAAAGTGTCATCCATGCTTCACCCTATGTTCATAAAGCATCTATTACATTTATTAAAGAATAAATTGGCCTCTCCTGACAAAAATGTAATAAAAGTAACTGCACAGAAACTCCATGTCTTCAACATAACCCTTTCTCCTTCCTGTTTTCTTCATTCAAACTAGCCTTGTCTGGGCTGAGGGCACCAGGACCACCCGGCCTCCTTTCTCTGGTATCCTCCCCTCCAGGCACATACTGGCCACCCACGCCCTTCCTTAGTCATTAGACTCTGGTCAGCACCCACAATCTGCTGACCTCAGAAAACTTGAAGATCACATCTTGACTTCCCCTGTGTTTCAACCCCAGACCCATGAAAGTGGACCGACCCCACCCACCGAACACTCACAATACTGGACAGAACGGCACCGCGGCCCACATCAGGAAATGATCCGGTGATCAACACCTCCTGACCGTGGCCCCCCCCTCCGGTCATCACCACAGTTAACACTGCTCCCTATCCGTCTCCATGCAGGACATCGGGTGCAATGACTCTTCTGAATTAGTTACTTCTTGCTCACTTTATGTTCTTACACATTTACTGCTTATTAATGCATCTGTCAATATACATATGATTACGTTGCCCACGTGAAAGTTGACGGGAACAGCCCCTCACTGTACCATACACTGTTGTGCATCTTGCTTGTTTTCTGGACCAGCAAACCTGTTCCCTGGTTATGTCCTGAGATGCAGCCTGACCCAAACCAGGTCCGAGTCGGGAGGGCAGCTCTGGCTCCTCCTGCCTCTCACCTTGCTGCCTCGGAGCCCGTTCTTCATCAGAGTCCTCACGGTCCCCCTCCTGGAGCTTGGTGGCCCGCCTGCGGTGACCCATGAAAGCTGGTCGAGGGACCCTGAGACCTGGGAAGAGACAAAACCTCTGTCCTGAAGCAGAGAGCGTGGAGGAGGAACAAGCCCAGGAAGCCCGTGGGACTGGCTCCGATGGGACAGCAGAGTCTACAGCGAGTTGCCGTGAGCCCCGCACCCTCGTCAGCGCCGGCCCTGCTCTGACTGAAGGAGCAGACTCCCTGCGACCCGTGTCCCTGCGGGAGGGAGCTGCGGGCGGACGGAGCCGCCTGAGCAGGGGCCAGCCCAGCAGCCTGTCGGGTCTCCAGGCCCCTGGGCCCAGCGCCTGCGCACGCGCTACCTGGGCCGGTGAGCGCAGCCGAGTTCCTCTTCACGTCCCGGTACCCGCCTTTCTCCCCGTCTCCCACCTCTGCCCACTGCTCCCTGGAGAAGTGGAGGGCAGCGTCTTCCAAAGCTTCTTCCGCCTGGAGAGGAGAGTGGACACACCCGTAAGTCAGTCTGTGATGCCAGTGAGAATGCACTGCGGGTGGGGGTGGGGGGCTTCCCTGCGGGGCCCCTCCTCGTGCAGGGAGCAGGCGGGGCCTCGACGGTCCTTGTGCCGAATGCGCTGAGCCCCCGTCTCAGTCTCAGTGGAGATCCGGTCCGGAGCGGCTGCTCCTCGGGGGTGTGTCCCGGGGCCCTGCTCGCACGCTGGGCCTTCTCCCACTTCCCTGACCGGCCCTGCCCCGCGGAGGCCCATCTCTCCCACGCGCACAGCGCGAGTCACCCCCAGTGAGGGTCACCCCGAGGGCAGGGTGTCTGCGGAGCTCTGTCCCCACGCTCCCACCGGCCCCTCAGCTCACCTGAGGCGTCCGCCCCATTCGCCCCACTTCTCCCTCAGGGAGCTCCTGCGGATCCCCGTCGGGGTTCATGGTGTCCGAGCCCCGAATCCGAAGCGCCTGCGGAAGGAGAAGGAGCTGAGAGGGCCGAACTCCCTTCTCCCGGTTGGCAGGGCGTCTGGAGAGGGGGCCACGGTGGGGGGGGGGGCGCCCTGTTCCCGCCCTTTCCTCTGAGGGGCCCGGTCAGCCGGGCGAGCCTGTGGCGGGAAACGCGCTTCTCCGGGGGAAGCGCCCGGAGGTGTCTCTCGGGCTGAGAGGCCCGGGGTCCCTCAGGACACGATCTGCGTCTTCCGGGCGGAGGACACTCAGCGTCCCCGGGGGAGAGGGCCAGACCGCCGCGGCTGAGGGGAGTCGGGGCGTCTCACGAGGGGCTTCCGGGTCCCCTCCACTGAGTCGGTTTCCAGGACGACGGCATTCGGGGTCTCTGCGTTTGGGGAGGTTTGGTCTTTCCGGGCGGGCGAGCTGCAGGAAGGGCGCCCCGAGCCGAGGGGAACTGGGTTTCCAGGCTGTTTGGGGGTCAGGAGACGTGGGGTCCTCCGGGTTAGCGGACGCGCGCCCCTCGGTGCTGAAGGGGTTTGGGGGCCCCTCGGGATGAGGGCATCTGGGGTCTCTCGGGCTGGACTTGGAAGGTCTCGGGCTGAGTGTTCCACATGGCAGGGCTCCCCGCTTACCGGTCCGTCTCCCGGGGCCCCTGCCGCGCTTCCCGCCTCAGTGCAGCGCCCTCTCGGAGCTCCTGGGCTTCCCGCCCTCGGGAGGAGGTTCCATCCTGGACGGCCACGTGGGCACAATCCGCCAATCAGTGCTGGGGTCCCTGGGCCCTGCCCGCCAATGGGCGGTCAGAAGAAGCTGACAGGGCGGGGCAGAAGGGCAGGGGCCCCTGGGTTCAGGACTGGCCGGCGGAAGACCCGCCCCGCCCCGCGGGGATTGGCTACCCTGGGTCTCCGAGCGCCAGTCAGCAGCCTGCAGTGAGCACCGCGGTTCTGTGGGTAGTTTTCCAGCGTCTGGTGAGGGACTCGACCCGCAGGAGCTGGGAGCTCCGAGCCCGGGTCGGTCTGTAGGGTGGACGTGGCCCTCCTGCCCCCTGACAAAGTGTCTTTGTTCCACCGGACTGTGGTCAGGATCCCCAACCTTCGTCTAGAGCCCTCCATTCCCTCTCTTGTCAAACCCACTTGCAACCAGAGCTGCATAACCAGTGATGATGTGATCAAGACTGCACTGCATTCCCTGGAAACTGTCGTCAGTAAATTCTGACCACACAATTCACAGACACAAAAGAAGTCCCATAGGGTCCCAACATTTAAACACAACAAATAGAATAATAAATGCACTGGAAAACACACTAGGAGAATTTCACATCTTAAAGAAGCAGCGTTATGAATAATAAGTATGTTGAAGTAAGTCAGGTCTAAAAAGATTTCAGAAATAGGAAGACAAGATAAAATCAAACCAAACTAAATAAATTTTTTAAAAATGCTTAGAAAAACTACAAGTATTTTCCATAAAAATAAGATATTGAGTTAGAGGACAGGGGTCCACAGAGCAGGGTCATTGTAGCCACTGCTGGCTTTCTTAAGTCCACAGCGTGCCTCTGCTCCTTACCTCGTTTTTAGCACGTAAATGTAACTTGATTTCCATGGACTGGAAATGAGCCAAGTAACTAGTCATTACTGTGAAATTGCATAAAGGGAAACCTCCCTAAAGTGGAGCTGGGGGTCAGTGGGGGTGCTGTCACATAGCACCACCCAGGGTAAATTACAGGAAAAATTGTCACAGGCCCCGGCATGAAGATGTGTCATGTGCTCCCAGGAGAAACCGACTCCCCAGCAACTCTGTCAGAGAGAAACCATCGTCACCCTGGACTGAGGATTTTCTGCAATGCACTTTCATTTGAAATGACCACTCCCAAGTTCCTCCTTTCTCCCTGTGAAATAACGTTCCTCTCCTTTACTTGTGGAGCTTGCCTATGATTTTTGCTACACCTTGCTTGTCCTAAATTGTAATCTTTTACTGTTTCCAAATAAACCCTTTATCTGCTAGTAAAATAACTGACTGCTATACTTTTAAAGTCAACATAATTTGGTGGCCCGTATGGGGATCCAGAGGACTTCTGACATGTCTGAGGCTGATGAGCAAGCAGGTGCAGTGTCCTTGCTCTGAAAGACTCCGGGGAGGGTCCTTTGGTACAGACTTCCCAGTGATCATTTTGAGAATAGCCACCCAGAAATAACATCCTCATTCCCTCTGACCCAGAAATTCCACTTTTCAAAATTTTCTCCCAGTAGCCCTGGCCTGGTAGTTCAGTTGGTTAGAGTGTTCTGCCTATATGCCAAGGTGGTCAGTTCATTCTCCAGTCAGGGCACATACAAGAAGCAACCAATGAATGAATACATAAGAGGACCAACTAACTCTCTCTCTCTTTCAAATTAATAAATGAAAAGAAAAGCATGAAAAATTCCCCCCCAGTTATGCTTCCCTGTGTATGAAATGAAGTATGTTTAATATATTTTATCCAACATATAATAACATATATTTTTTAAGTTTTCAGTAGAAGAAAATTTGTTAAATTGTGGTTTGCTCACACTGTAAAATATTATAGAACATTAAAAATGGGTGAGGATATATATTTCACTGAAGAAATAAAACCTAGTAAGGTGGTTCTAATGGATTTTAACAGAGAATGATTTGTAAATAATGTTATTATGAGAGAAAAGTATCCTGCAAAACAAATTATGTAAAAAAAAATAATAAAAACCCAGGCAGAAGATGTGCTGAGAGGAGACACAGGGACTAGTCACCGGGACCAGGGCCTGGGCAACGTGGAGGGGAAAACTTGCTTTTCCTTCATGTCATTTGGAATGTTGTGTCATTTGTTTTCTCCTTTACTTAAAATAAACGTATCTATAAATATTTTTGCAGATAAAAGAATGGATGAGAAATAGTTGGTTATTTATGTATGCATTTAAACATGACTCAACAAAATTTCTGCACACCCTCATTAAATCCAGTGGCCCACACTGCCTTCCTTATCTGAATAGCATCGTGACCACCCAAAGTGTCCAATTTGCATCCAAAACTGGATTCCAGCAGGAACATTTCCATAGCGCAGAATATATGGTATTACACGTTTACTGTTTGTGAGATGAAAACCATTTATTATAAAAACAATAAATTTTATATTTAAGTATTGGATCCAAGGTCACTTATAGAATGCTATTAAGAATATTATAAGCCCTGACTAGTGTGGTTCAGCTTCCCTGTGTGGCATCTGGCAACTAGGGTTCATTGTCCAGTTCCAACTCTGGAGTCTGGCTGTGGGGTCTTGGTTACGGATCTGGGTCCTGTCTTTAAGGTCTGTGGCCTGGGCTTTGAATCCATTTGGCTATGGGTCTCAGATCTGGGGTCTCTTTGGGTGTGGCTTTGGGGTCTCTGGGTTTGTGTGTGGGGTCCATGTGGCTGTCTATAAATTTATAGTTGTTGGCTCCAAGTCAATGCCAAGAGGAGTCCGGAGGCTGGGGCGTGGTGAAGGAGGAAACTTTAGTGCAAATACCTGAATTTTAATACAGAATGGCTCTGAGTACAGAAGGGTTGTTAAGAAGCTCAGTATTGTTACAGGTGAATTATGAAGCGCCACACTGTGTATTAGCTCAGTTGCTTCTTAGTTACTTGGCATCAGGGCTGTGAGGAAGCCCTGAAGTGAGGCAGCCCTGGGGCAAGTCCCTCCCCTGTTGTGCTGCTTAGGGCTTCTCCACTTATCTACATGACTTCTCATCTAGACCTTCATTTCCTCTTTGCTCGGCTGCATTTGTATATGAAGAAGTGAAAATTGGATGAGGACCCCCTCTGAACGAGGAGATCAGGCCGGGTGAGCAAAGAAGCAAAGAAAAGGCCTCTGGTGTTATCCCCACAACAGACTAGATTTTTATTATTATTAAAATATGCCGTGTTTTCCTGTAGTACTTTTTAAGCCCAAACTGAGACAGCCTTTTTTGTTGTTGTTGTTGCTGTTGCCGCTTAAATTATATAAAAATAAAAATAATTGAAAATCCTACCCAAACAGGTAATAACTGCTATTGTATTAAATATATGCACTTCTAAACAAGGTGGGGGTGTGTGGGGTGGGATGGGCAGAGGAAGGCAAAGGGGAAAAATTGGGAAACTTTAATAGAATAACAATAAAAATCATTTAATAAAAAAATAGTATATACCCTTCCAGACATCACTACTTGCACATTCTTCCACTTTCTCTGAATTTAATTTATTATTTGGGATTTGTAATATGATGGAAAATTGGTACATTTTGAGGCTTTCTCCCTAATGTGTGGATTTATCAATACATTTTTCCAGACTATTTTTATGTGCTATTTTTATTATCATTCACTTCAAATTATTTTTTAACTCCATTTTAATTTTAATTTGTGGGTTATTTTGAAGTATTTTTATAGTTTTTAAATATTAGCACTTTCTAGTTATATTTTATTACTGATTGCTACTTTACCTGCAATGAAAACAAGAAACATACTTTATATAATTTCAACCCTTTGATATATTTTTTTTTGAAACTTGCTCCATAGTACAATATGGTCAATGAAAGCTCCAAGCATGATTCTGTGCTGCCATCTCTTGTTCATTTTGGGAATAACACCTTAGTGCTGGTCAACAAGAAAAATGGTGGATCCTGATGGAATCTCAATGGCTGTTGATGGCAATGGTATTTAGAATCATATTTTAAAATGTCTCAAGGCATAGACTGTCATTGTGATTACCTTGTGACTAGTTTCCAGATTAGGGCAAAGGAAGCAGTAATCATGTTGTATGTGCCATTTGTTGGAAGTTGCTTTACAGTGTAATAGAGTCTGGTTTTTAGAAGTTCCAAGTGTGCTTGACAATCATTTGTAATTTGCTTTGTTTGTTGCTTCTTCCTTAAACAATGAAGAAAGTAGAATCTATTTAAAATAAATTTTAACCCAATAGGTTAAAAAGACAAAACCGCTGTCATTTTAAAAGTGAAAATTGAATGAACTATTTGGCCAAGCCACTAATACGTGTCCCAAGCGCAATCACCTCATCTTCAGACAGTAAGACTCCTAGCAAGAGCTTGTTGATCCTCTTACTGAACTCCTTGTGTCTTAAGGTTGTGGGAGTTGCCCAACAAAAATCAACCTGCCGGGTATGCTGCCTTTTTTTCCTAAATTACCTGCATGCCTCCTATTTCACCTTTGAAATATAAGACTCTATTCTTCCATTTACCAAAATACCCTATACACCATATTACTTCATTATGTTTGGTATTCACTTTAATATGAATTCTCTTTGCCCTTGTAGTAGACATTGAATACCTCCCATTAATCAGATTATGTCAATTTGATTGTTATCCCAGCTGTTAGAATTTACAAGGCATGACAAAAATAACTTTGTATTCCCACACAGGTTTTGTGAGCTGACCATGTGACATTCATGGCTGGGACACTAACTTCTGGAAAGTGCAGCCTCTGAGAGATCATGGACATCTCCTGGCAAAATTAAGCATTATTGTTATTTTTTGCTCTGTCTGCCTCTTTGGTCTATTTCTGCAGGGCTTGGCATAATTTAGTAGTGCCAGGAGAGATTTCCTTCCCTTGTACACTTACATTGGTATGAAAAACTATCTCTGAGGCCAGCTGCTTGAACTTAGAGAGTCAGGAATGTTCTGTATCGGCTCCTGGCTCTGTTTACATTGTGAGGACTTGGTTCTGCTCCTGCATCTGGCAACTGGGCTCCATTGCTCAG